ATTTGGCTATCCTTGGATTTTTTTGTTTTTCCATATGAAGTTGGTCTGTGAAGAATTGTGCTGGGAATTGGATGGTTATTACATTGAATCTGTAGATTGCTCTTGGTATGATTGCCATTTTTATTATGTTTATTCTACCTATCCATGAACATGGGAGATCTTTCCATTTTCTGATATCCTCTTCATTTTTTTCTTTAAAGACTTAAAGTTCTGTCATATAGGTCTTTCACTTGTTTGGTTAGAGATTTCCAAAGATATTTTATGCTATTTGTGGCTATTGTGAAGGGTGATGTTTCTCTGATTTCTTTCTCAGCCCATTTATCATCTGTATGTAGGAGGGCTACTGATATTTTTTTAGTTGATCTTGTATCCTGCCACATTACTGAAAGTGTTTATCAGCTGTAGGAGTTCCCTGGTAGAATTTTGGGGATCACTTATATATACTATCTGTTAACTCGATAGTGTGGGATTTTTCTAGCTTCTTTATGTAGGCATTTAGTGATATGAACTTTCCTCTTAGCACTGCTTTCATTGTGTCTCATAAGTTTGGGTATGCTGTATAGTCTCTTTCACTGAATTTTAGGAAGTCTTTAATTTCTTTATTTCTTCCTTGACCCAGTGGTGATTCCATTGAGCATTGTTCAAATCCCATTTGTTTGTGGGCTTTCTGAAATTAGTATTGTTGTTGAATTCTAACTTTGAAGCTGTGGTCATTGGATAAGATACATGGGGTTATTTCACTTTTTTTTTTTAATCTGTTCAAGTTTGCTTTGCTACCAAGTATATGATCAGTTTTTGAGAAGATTCCATGAGGAATATTCTTATGAGGTGTATTCTTATGAAGTATATTCTTATATGTTTGAGTGGAATGTTCTATAGATGTCTGTTAAGTCCATTTGAGTCATAACATCTGTTGGTTCCCTTATTTCTCTGTTAATTTTCTGTCTGACTGACCTGTCCAGTGGTGAGAGTGGAGTGTTGAAGTTTCCCACTATTAGTTTGATTTAAGCTTTAGTAGTGTTTCTTTCACTGCTGTGGGATGATGGTCTGTATTCTGTTGATTATATTTTAAATAAATGCTGATTGGTCAGTAGCCAAGCAGGAAGTATAGGCGGGACAACCAGACAAGAAGTAGAGGCAGGTCAATAAGAACAGGAGAATTCTGGGAAGAAGAAAGTCCTAGTCTGCAGTCATGACCCAGCCACAGAAGAAGCAAGATGTGACTGCCTCACTGAATTAGGTACTGAACCATGTGGCTAACATAGACAAGAAAAATGGGCTAATATAAGTTATGAGTTAATAAGAAGTCTGAGCTAAAGGACCAATCAGTTTATAACTAATGGAGACCTCTGTGTGATTTCTTTGGAACTTAACAACTGTGGGAACTGGGCAGGACAGAAACCACGACAACATTTTGCAAATGTGGGTGCCCTTGTATTTGGCGCATAGATGTTCAGTATTGATGTTTCCTCTTGATGAATTTTTCCTGTGACAAATATGAAATGTCCTTCTTCACCTCTTTTGATTGATTTTTATTTGAAGTTTATTTTGTTAGATATTAGGATAGCTACACCAGCTTCTTTCTTAGGTCCATTTGATTAGAAAATCTTTTACCAATCCTTTATTCAGATGTAATGCCTGTCTTTGAGGTTGAGGCATGTTTCTTGTATGCAGCAGAAGGATGGTTTCTGTTTTCAGATCCAATCTGTTAGCCTGTGTCTTTCCATGGTCTCTTAGTGTCTGCATAACACCTGTCCAGATCTTCTGGCTTTCATTATTTCCACTGAGAAGTTGGGTGTAATTCTGATAGGTCTGCCTTTATGTTACATGGTCTTTTTCCTATGCAGCCCTTATTATTCTTTCTTTATTCTGTATGTTCAGTGTTTTGATTATTATGTGGTGAGGGGATGTTTTTTGGTTCAGACTATTTGGTGTTCTGTAAGCTTCTTGTATTTTCATAGGTATATCCTTAGGTTGGGAAATTTTTCTTCTATGATTTTTTTAAATTTATTTTCGGTGCCTTTGAGTTGAACTTCTTTTCTTTCTTCTATTCCTATTATTCTTAGGTTTAGACTTTTCATGGTGTCCCAGATTTACTAGATATTTTGGGTTAAGAACTTGTTGGATGAATCTGTTTCCTCTATCATATCTTCAACTCCTGAGATTCTCTTTTATATCTCGTGTATTCTGTTGTTTATGCTTACATTTGTGGTTCCTGATCATTTACCCAAATTTTTCATTTCCATAATTCCCTTTGTTTGTGTTTTCTTGATTGCTTCTATTTCAGTTTTCAAGTCTTGAACCATTTCTTTCACCTGTTAGATTGATTTTTCTTGCTTTTCTTTAAAGGGATTTGTTGATTTCTTCCAATTTTTTTGATTGTCTTCTCCTCAACTTCTTTAAGGGAATTTTTTTGTTTTCTCTTTAATGGCCTCAATCATAAATTGATAAATTTCATAAAGTTATTTTTATCTGCGTTGGGATGGTCAGGTCTGTTGTAGTACCACAAGTTTCTGGTGGCGCCGTATTGCTCTTTATGTTGTTGAATGTATTCTTACCTTATAATCTACCCATCTCTTTCTCCAATCTGTATAGGTGGAGCCTGTGTTTCAGGGGATCCCTCTTCTTCCAATTGGTATAGCTGGGGACTGGGGCTCTGTTGAACACTCTTCTAGGTGCAGTCAGGCCCAAGGCTCAGATGTTTGTTTCTCAAGGTGCAGGTGGGGCCATAGCTCTGGCGGTCACTCCTCCAGGTACATGTGGGACCACAGTTCCAATGATTGCTCATCGAGGAGTAGGCAGGTCTGAGGTTCCAATGATTGCTTCAGTGGTGGAGTATCTCATACAGAGAATGGTAGTGGCTGGTGGCTGGGACACAGGTGCTTTATTCCAGAGGAGCTTATGACAGCTTCTGGAAGCAGCTGCTGTCGTCACTCCCAGTGGTCACTTGACACTCCTGGCTGTCGCTCCTAGTTAGGGTTTCTTCTTCTTCTTTTTTAAAATTTATTGAGTATGTATACAGTGTTCTGCCTGCATGTGTCCCTGCAGGCCAGAAGAGGGCACCAGATTTCATTACAGGTGGTTGTGAGCCACCATATGGTTGCTGGGAACCTAGTTAGGGTTTTGATAGCTGATCCTGGCTTTACTTACAAGTAAGTGTCTGTCCTTTCTTTATTCCTGTGCTCACTTCTACTCAGAGTTCCAGGACTCAAGCTGTTGGGGCCTTGGCATTCCAGAACACTATTGAAATACTGTCATTGGGCTTTCCTTTGGGCTGCCAGCTCACAGATGGTGGTGGTTATGATGATGATGATGATAAGGCTGCAGCCCAACAATGGCTAGTTATAAATGGAAAGTCCCACAAGGCTGGGTGTCTCAGCTGGTCTGCTGGGATCTTAAAGAAGGAATAACTGTACTGACGGAGGTGAGGGCCAGCAGTCAAAGAACCCCACCCACCATTTTTTTATTGAAATAATTTACACATTAAAAAACTAATTGTTAAGGATGCTCAATTGTGCCACAAGGACATGTGCTCAACTATGTTCATAGCAACTTTGTTTGTCATAGCCAGAACCTGGAAACAACCTAAATGCCCCTTGACTGAAGAATGAATAAGGAAAATGTGGTACATTCACACAATGGAGTACTACGCAGCAGAAAAAAATAACGGCATCTTGAATTTTGCAGGAAAATGGATGGATCTAGAAAACATTATTTTGAGTGAGGTAACCCAGACACAGAAAGACAATTATCATATGTGCTCACTCATAGGTGGTTTTAAAACATAAAGCAAAGAAAGCCAGCCTACAAACCACAATCCCAAAGAACTTAGACAATAACGCGGACACTAAGAGAGACTTACATAGATCTAATCTTCATGGGAAGTAGAAAGTAGAAAAAGGCAAGATCTCCTGAGTAAATTGGGAGCATGGGGACCTTGGGGGAGAGCTGGAGGGAAAAGGGGGGAGGCAGGGAGGGGAGCAGAGAAAAATGTAAAGCTCAATAAATATCAATAAAAAATTAAAAACTAATTGTTTAAATTACACAGTTAAATAGACAATGTATATAACTCAGTCTACATGGAGGTGCATATCTACAATCCTGGTACTTGAGAGGCAAAGACAGGAGGACTGCTCTGATCTAAACAGAGAATTTGGGGCAGCCAGGGCTACAGATAAAGACTATGCCTCAAACAAACAAGCAAAAACACAACTCCAAAATTAAAAAACATCAGTACATAATTCAGTAGTTTATTGCATATACACAGTTGTTCTCCATCAGCACAATCTGAGTTTGGAAAATCTCCATAACCACAGAAAGAAATTCAAGGACTAGGGATGTAGCTGGTGATGAAGCACCTGCCCGTCTTTACAGGCCCAGGCTGACGCCAAACGCAAAGACACTCAACACTATCCCCAGTGAGCAATCACTGAACCACCCTAGGTTTACAGATCTGCCATGGGCTGGCAAGATGGATCACCGAGTCTGATGACCCGATTTTAGCCCTGGTACCACAGGGAGGACGGGGAGGACAACTCCTGACAGTTGTCCTCTGTTATGGAAACAAACAAGAGTAGGTTTGCCATTTCTGCAGATTCGGCTCAGTAGCTAGGACAAACAAGACAATGTTCATCCCCAGCATGGATCAAACAGAAAAGTCTTTAGTGTTTTGTCTGGATGTATGTATGTGTGCTGTGTGTGTGCCTGGTGCCCTCAGAGATCAGAAGAGGGCATCAGAACCCCTGGAATTGGAGTTACAGATGGTTATGAACCACCATATGGGTTCTGGGAATTGAACTTGGGTCCTCTGCAAGGGCAACAAAGTGCTCTTAACCCCTGAGTCATCTTTCTAGTCCTTGAACTAGCAATTCTTATGCCATACTTTAATTCTTGACACCTAGGTTCCGAATTCACTAAAGACAATAACATTAATCACAATGAGCCAAATGAGATGCTTTCTCCAGGAAGTGCGCTCTGTTCCTCAGCCGGAAACTTCTTACCTTATCTGGCGCATTCTTGCTTAGCATTAAAGGGAAGACCCGCTCATGCAGCCAGTGCTTCCGACTGTTGCTGTTACAGCCGTACAGGAAGATATTGTTCTTGCGACTGTGCCCATGGAAATCACAATACAAGAGAACCTCTCTTTCTTCCAGAAGTCTATTGAGAAACAGACATCCAAACTCAAGAAATTAAATCACTCTCTACCTGTGGTCCCAGAATCAGTCAATGGTAAACCAGTTCTCCCACATCTGTTCACAAAGGTGTGATTAGAAACTGGCATTGGTATCTTATCTGCTATGTGTTTGCCTATAGTGGAATGGAAGCTCTTTTAAGATGGGTGCTAGTATCCGATAGCTTCAAGCTGCTTCCACACAGGCTTGAAAAGTGCAAGCTAACTTATTACTTTATCTTCATTAGAAGCAAAATTTGGTGATATTAGGGGACTCAAATCCTGGAGTCAGAGATCCTATGTCCAAATAGTTATCCTGCTGCTTGTGAGCTCTGAGACTTTAAGTTATACCAAAGTTTTGGAACTCAATTTCCTTATTGCATGCAACAGAGGATATTGACCATGTGTTAGCCCATAGGGCTAGTGGGAACATTAAAAGGGCCAATGTGTAAAGTACTGATCATAGTATCTGTTACTTCCAACTTAAACACTGCTAGCTTCATTATGATTACAGTTTTATATGAATAGCAAAATTTCCCTGACCTTTTCCATCCAATTGTTTGAATTAAAAATGAAACAAGTGGCCGGGCATGGTGGAGCCCACCTTTAATTCTAGCACTCAGGAGGCAGAGGTAGGCAGATATCTGAGTTCAAGGCTAGTCTGGTCTACAGAGTGAGTTTTAGGACAATCAGGGTTACACAGAGAAACTCTGTCTCAAAAAGAAAGAAGAGGAGGAAGAGGAAGAGAAAGAAGTGAAGAAAAAGAAAAAAGAAGGAAGAGGAGGGAAGGAAGGAAAAAAGAAAGAGAGAGAGAGAGAGAGAGAGAGAGAGAGAGAGAGAGAGAGAGAGAACTGAACCCAGCATGGTGGCACAAGTCTTTAATCCCCGCAGAGGGAGACAAATCTGGTTTGAGGCCAGTCTGGTCTACATTCCACACCAGGCCCTGCATCAAACACAGACATGAAATAACTGGACTGGAGAGAGGGCTCGGTTGGAAAAGTGCTTCCTATGCAAACCCAAGGACCTGAGTTCAGATCCCATATAAATGCTGAACATGGTGGTGAGTGCCTAAAACCTCAACATGGAGAAGATGGTTGAAGAGGTATACAGATCCCAGGGGCTCGATAGCCAGTCAGTGCAACCACTGATTCAGTGAGACATTCTGTCTCACAAGATAAGATGAAATTGAGAACATAGCTCAATGACGGAGTGCTTGCCTTGCATGTGTTAAGCCTTAAATTCAATTCCAGAGGGGTGGGGGAGGCAAGTGAAATGGTTGATATCGAAGGGACTAGCCCACTCTAGCATGTGGCTTTGGCAGGCCTCTCTCTCCTCCCCAGTTCCCTGTGTTGCTAAAAACCATTAGATTACATTCCTAGAGCTAGCTACCAAGGTAGTTATGTGGGGCCTGAGAAGGAACCCCTGCTATGCGGGGGGGGGGGGGTCTCCTTCAGATATGCTGATGCATGCCTCATGTTCTTTTAAAGATCTGATGTGATTTAAATGTCTAAAAATGTACCCATAGTCCAAGACTCTCCAAAGCCATACCATCCTCCTCCTAGATAGGAGTAGCTGGTATTGAGGCTCATAGCATTCACAGAATTATCAGCAAAGAGGTCTCACCTTTTGATCATGTTCTTGGTGTACCAAATGCAAGGGAAAGAATCCTTAAGAACGGTTTTATAATGTCTGTTCAAGTCCCTTCCAGCCAATGAACACCGGTAATTCCCCACGATCACTCCATCTGGATTTAGCATGGGAATCACCTTGAAGACAAAAATATCCCTGAGGAGCTGGGCATCTGGGGAGTTGCCAAGGATGAAGTCCAAAAATCCTCTCATGATCCAGGAGCCATTACTTTCTCCAGGGTGGACTCTGGCACTCAACACCACAGCTTTCTTTGTAGCTGCCTCCTGAGGGGTCCTGGATGGACTGGTGATGGTGAGCAAGTAGACCGTGTTCCCAGCTAGGCTCCTGCATAGAGCTCGGAGCTTGCAGAACTGAGACTGGATGGGGTTGTTTGCGATCGACAAGAGATAGCATTGCAAGTCAGTGTAAGTATAAGGGTAAAAGTGTGCAAAGAAGCAAGTGTCCTGGTCATGCGGAAACTGAAGGGTCCAGGTGAGACAGTAGAAGGGCTGCTGCCCATCACCCGTGTTGTTCTTGTAGTACTTGATTTCCTGGCCTTCTCTCCTCCAGCCAACATTGTAGGTGGCAGCATCCAGCTGAGAGTACATAAGAGGTTTCATGCCCACCGCATACAGGCTCTTGGGCTTCAGCAAGTTCACAATGGTGAAGCGGTAGGTGACGTCTTTTCTGGTATTCTGAACTCTAAAGTAAAACCACTGGGTGTGTTTGTCTGTGTAGAGGTCAGTTCGCAAGGTGAGTTCGTACTCATAGACGCCTCTGCAATGAAAAGAAAAAAATGTTCTATACCCCATCACCTTCCCCTCAAAGCAAACCCAGGGCAACATTGTTTTCTCCTTGTGAAGATGGACCGGCGGCAGCTGCCTCCACAGCAATTGTGGCGGCAGCTGCCTCCACAGCAATTGTGTCCTTTCCGGTTTACCCACTCCTCTGAATCACATAAGAAACTGGTGAAACTTGCAAAAGGAAACTTTGTGTGGGATTGAGGAGAAAGTTTCCAGTCTCTCTGTGAGCTGTACATACTTACAATCCAGACACTTGGGAGGCTGAGGTAGGAGGATCATAATTTGCAAGCCATCCTGGGCTATACAGAGATTTGAGGCTAGCCTGGGTTATCTAGGCTTTTTAAAGTTAGGGAAATCTTGTTTGAGCAAAGGGGTCAAGACCATGATGGTGATACCCACAGAAACTACTGAGAGCTCACTGACTCTGGACTCACAGTGGGAGAACCTACATAGGAGCAAACTAGGCCAACTGAATGTGGGGGGCAGTTGTGAGGCTTGAGCAGGCTGTGGGGCCACTGGCAGTGGGACCAGGATTCATCCCTAGTGCTTGAACTGGCGTCTAGGAGCACATTCTCTTTGGAGGGACACCTTGCTCAGCCTGGATATAAGGAGGAGGGCCTTGGTCTTGCCTGGAAGTGAAGTGTCAGACTTTGTTGACTCCCCAGGGGAAGTCTTACCCTTTTTGAGGAGTGGATGGGGAGATGGGGTGGAGGGAAGGTGGAGGAAGCGGGAGGAGGGGAAGGAGTGGGAACAGGGATAGTCATGTAAAATGAGAAAAGATTGTATTTAAGAATTCTTATATAGCCGGGCGGTGGTGGCGCACACCTTTAATCCCAGCACTCGGGAGGCAGAGGCAGGCGGATCTCTGTGAGTTTGAGACCAGCCTGGTCTACAAGAGCTAGTTCCAGGACAGGCTCCAAAACCACAGAGAAACCCTGT